GAGTTTGTTGGCAGCTAGAAGAGGTATTGTTTTAAATTACACTAAAACATAAAAAAACCCCAACTCAGTCCTGGAAAGTTTTCAGTCTTGCTAGATGTACTGCAGTTTTTCTAAATTAGTTAGTTCAGCCAAAATGTAATTATTCTAACAACATGGTAGCAACCCTGTTGTGCAGGCTGGGCTGGGCATCCATTCTATATCTTACTTTGTGTTCACTGTTTTAAACAGACATTTTCTTTTAAGTGCAAACTTGCAATATTTGGGCTCAACCAAAGTGTATTTTCAAAACGGCGTCTCAAGAACATCCATGTAGCTGGTTGGATATGTAAATGGGAACTATACATATGTGTTTAACCAGCTTTTGGGAAGGACAATTATGGAAAAAGATTGCTTTGTCTTACTAATTTATCTGCAGAATCTACGTAGTTTTGAGTAATTATTTGTGTGTGTTTAAAAATACTTATTTACAAATAAAGCATTTCAAAATGTATCATCTTCTGTGTCTGAGTATAAAGCATGGTATTCTGCCAACACAAATATATGTATAGCCTGTACGTTCAAATTTACACACTGAAATTAATACTGTGCATTTCTACTGGATTGAGTTCTTAATATACAATTTTATCATTACTACTATTAATCAAATCAATCTTGGTTCACCTGGATTCCGTATTAGGAAAAAAATCTGTCTGTAATTTCTAGTTCTTCGATTTTCTGTCAAAATTTTTCTAACACCCAGAGATATGTCCTCCCATTTTTATTTTGTCACTTTCTAAAGAAATTAAAAACCTCACAAAATTTACGTAATAAAAATATTTAAATTCTCAGTCCTTCCGCTGCATTAAGTCAAGTCAATGAATGGAACATTTTCTTAGAACGGCTTCAACTTTTCTACATAGTACATATAAACAATCTCAAAATTTAAAAGGCAAAAAAGAGACTCCTGTTAAAGATCTACAATGAGATCCAACTAGCACCTATATAAATACATTAAGCTCTTGAATCACATCGGGTTTGTATATTTGCACTTGTATTCTGATCAATACATCAACATAATTTTAATACCGATTTATACATTGAATTGAAAAGAAGGTATTTTAAGACTATGTCTGCTTTCCAAGAGACATTAGGCCTGTATTTTGGTAGAGGGCTATATTTGACCTCTGTACCTTTACATTCTGGTAATCTAATCCCATCACTGATTTTATTTTAAAATATTTAATTAAGAGTTAATACACTGAATCCTAAAATGACTTTCATTACCTCAAAACCTACTATAGACAACTGCTAGCACTGGGACAAAACCCAGTTTAAAGAGTGAGTTGCATACAGTCTGTATGCCAGCACAGAATTTAAGGATGAATTCAGACATTGTCCCCAGGTCTAGGTAAAACTGCAATTGTAGGCAACAATTTGTGTTGTTACCAACAGGTGAGTCCAGTAACCTTGACACTTGATTGGAAAGAAGGTCTCAACAATAAAGAGCAAGCAAGTTCATGTAAAGTAATATGAAACTTATGAACTTAAAGCAAATTTTGGTGCATGAATTTAAAAAAAAAGCTCAAAAAGTGGTTGTGCTTTTTTTTGTTTCTGTTACATTCTGTCACAAAGCTGAAGTAAGCTTAGCACTATAACGTAGGCAGCCACACTAGACTATAATGAAACACTGGCTGGATATTCAATAGATTAAATAATTCTTGATATTTTCTGAGATTATCACATAATGATGTTGTAATGACTTCACAATATCCAAATATTTACCACTAATCATTACTACTTAATCTCCAAAGGATTTTAAATTGAAAAAATAAATTATTAAGATTAAGAAACCTGGCTTAAATATTTATCATCATTTGTTAATAATCACTGCTCAGAAAATCACAGAATTATGGATACATTTTATTTTGGTAAAAGAAGTTAGGTACTAGTTTTAGTACTAGTACTAGTTGTACTAGTTTTATAGAGAGATACAGTTTGTGCACGTTTTCATTATTCACAAATCCCCAAAATAAAAGATTAATAACCGCTCTCCCAAAAAGTGTTGTATGAGTAATTAACAAAGACAGTAAAGTATAAAATTCTATACTTATTCTGACTCCAAGTTGATTAGCACTGTTGTCAGTGCTTGCACACACCAAATCTATTAACTGAACTTTGGATTTTGGCTCTAAAATGAATGTACACTCAGAGCACTGGCATATAAGACGAGCAACAGGACATTAACAAATTTTGATATGTAGAAATCTGTATCAGCATCACAAGAAAATCAAATACAAGCCTGATGTCTTTG